TCTGCCTGGGACCTACAGAAAGGTAGTGCTGTATATTCCAGCTCTGTAGCTGTGGCTTTTTGGCATTTCTCTTTGGGTTTTAACAATAATACTTTGAAGTAGTCAAAAAACTTTGGTACACTTTTTTGCTGCTTAAATCCTGTATCTGGGGCTGAAGTCTTTTATCCACCAGAGCTGAATTGGAAGGAACACGGGACTGCAAGGGTTGCTGCTTCTCCATTCTTCTGATGTCATTTCAGTGGGTGGGGCAGGACTGTTGGATACAGCCCTGTATTATACTCTTGTCAGCCCCCTCTTGGATGAAGGGTCTGATTTCTCATAGAAGTTCAGATTAAAACTGATAACAGTGTGCTGTGTGAAGACTTTGTTTGTGCTTCTTTCTCCCTTCAGATTAAGAATCTTAGACTAAGCATTTTAGTGGCTAGAAGGGGAAATACATGATGTAGCTGTCGTCATGCAGGGCAGTGCTGTAGCAGCTATACCTTCAGCTCCATCCCTGCAGCTGATTGCACATGGTCCCCTGGAGGCATTTGTTACTCACCAGAGGAGACTAAGCAAATGCAAAATTGCTGTGGCAGGAAAAAAATTAGCAAGATGAAAATGGAGATGATCACTGTAGGAAAACTCAGTGAACGGGATAACTATTAGACCTCTAATTTACTGGAAGTTCATGCCATAAAGAGAACAGTTAATGTTGGCTGGCAAGGACATCACACATCAGATAAATAGTTCTCTTGTTTAATGTTTCTCTTCTCCCAGTCACTCCTTGTTTTCACTGAAATTGATTTTCCTTCTAAGGGGAAAAAAACCCAGTATATGTAATTCTTGTCCACAAAAAACAATGTTTGCAGATAATACTTAAACACTGCTGTCTCCTTTTCACATGGATTCAGCTTAAGAGCCAGCAAGTGTGGTATCATCACAAATAGAAAGCAAGCAAGTGAAAAGAGGAAGTGGTCTTGCCATAACAGAAATAGTTTCTGAGGTCTGTTTTGCCAAACTTCTGCAGAAATGTTGGTGGAAGTGGCTCAGAAGTTCTGATCTTTATAAATGAGCCCAATATAGCACGCCTGTGTTTCCTGAGGATAGTGGATTTCAGCCCCCATCCCCTCATACTGGGGCTGATCCTAACCAGCTTTTCACTACTCTAAGCACTCATGTTCAATATGATGAGGTCATTTTCACCAGGAAGCACTTGCATTTGGACACATCTTGCAGTTTTATGTGAAGTACAAACCAGTGCTATTTGGGACTGTCATGGTCTAGGGCTCTCCTGCTTCCCAGGTCATTTAAATATATCATAATTTTAATAGCACTTTTAGGGAAACAGGGACCATGATGGGCATACTGTGTGTGTAGGATGCAAACTGGTTCTTGGAAGAAGATTTTTTAACAGTGAGTCCAAATAACTTTTTTAATGTTTTATTTTTTAATAAAAGATAATGTATGTCACCATGCTACCAGGACAGTGAAATGTAGACACATGAAACTTGGCAGGTTCTGATGGTGTGCATTTCAGGGTTCTAAAACAATAAATTTGCTTAACTATGTTAGTGGGTTTGAAGACTGCGGTACCATCTTCATTCACTAGCTAAAAGACTTCCCTAACCAGCAGATCGCTTTGCTGGTCAGGGGAGTCTAGTAAGGATACAGTTGGAAGCTATGGGAGAAGAGTAGTCTGAGGGACAGAGTTATTGAACTACCCTTTCTCTGTGTGATTAGAGTGGATGGACCTCCTCCTCAGGGAGCTGTAAGGGTGCACCAGGGCAGGTGCTTCGCTTGGAGAGAGGCAGCAAGCGCAGTGTTTCATTTCACATGTCACAGTGGCAAAATAGAGATTGCTCAACCCAGAATTTGCTGCAAAATATGCCGCGATCATTTTTTAATATTTAACCCCCAGTCAAACTAGTTGGGGGTTGCTACATGATAAACATAGGTTAATCATGCGATAAACAACCCACAGTTAGTAATCAAGGTAACTGGTTTTTTTTTTAAACTATGATTAACCAATACTATTGGAGTTCAGATGTCATGTAACAACCTTCGATGCACCCAATTGGGTAAGTGCGTTGAATATTCGGAAAGGCCTTAGAATGTGCTCAGTATATGCTGCAGCAAATTGTGGGGTTATTAACCCACAGGCAAATGAACCCAGTGGAACTAACTTTGAGAGCTATGTAAATTCGTTTGAAACTTTTGCTGTATCAAATTAAGGTCTATTCTCCGTAGTATAAAATCAGGCCAGTTTGCTTGAGGGTAATACGTATATGTTCCATTCTTAACAAATGAGGAAATGTCTAGAATTGCTGACTATTTTTTCATGTTATTCTGGGATAAATTTGACAAACATTTCCATTGAATAGCACTTTTTTTTTTAATTTATTTGTTAGCTTCTGACTCATGCTGGGATGGAACTGTTTCTGTTCTTAAACATAATTGTTATGTGATAGTTGATTTTAGAGTTCTTTAGAATCACATAAAATGCCACGGTTGTTGCACAGATAACCCACAGTATGCCTGACAGTGAGCTGATTGCCTCTCCTTCCCCCACAGTCCTCCTGTGGGTATTCTAGGGGACCCCATGGCAAGACTGACTTACCTGCTTTCCTTGCCATGATTGTGAACCCATTTTCACTTGTGGCTCTCCCTGCTTTTAACCCACCTCCATCTCATTTTCTGGTTCAACGGCCAGTTTCTGTGATCTCTGTCTCAACAGCCCCTTCAAAGTGCTCATGTGGCACGTTAGAAGGACTGTCTCAGGTTGTCAACCATTTGTTTCTTTTTCTGTCAATGTGTGTAAATACTTTAATACATTTTAGATACATATTTTAGTTTCACTTGCACAACTGTGGACATCTGCAGTTCTGTGGGTGCAAAAATGGGAAGCCTCAGCTAGGCAATGTCCTGCCCGGGGGGCAGGGGCATGTTGGTACCTGCTATCAGTGTGAAGCTGGATCAGCCCTGGACATTAACCAAGAGAGGTTACAAATACATCTGCATATTACAGGTTGCTTTTTCTTGATAGCTGTTAAAAGGTGAGCTGTCAAGGGAAAGCAAACGTGCAAATAATCTTCATTCAAGAAAACAGGTGGCAGGATTTCCCAGGACTTCACAGTGAGATCCTCATCTTGTTCTTTTGTGCCCTGACTGTCCTTGGGGTTCTGTACATTTTATATTTTTTTCTGAAACTCCCACCCCATTTGCAGGGGTAAAGGAGTTTCAGCAGCTGTCAGAATGCAGGCTCTCCTTTAAAACAGGTTTTGACAGAGCTTTCGTTTGTTAGTTTTTCACAGGATGCGCTAATTGTATATGCCCCAGTTCAAAAACACCCATTGCCCTATCAAAACCTTCCCATGCACAGCTTGGTTACTTTAAATGGGGCTGTCAGTGTCTGTCAAACCAGCGATTGCAATCTCTGTAACAGAAAGGCTAAAGAGGAGGGAATGCCGTTGTTGAGGAGAACATCTCCCACTGACATTTCCACCAAAGTGCTGCTTCAGCACTTACACAGTGGTAGGTACTAACGGTAGTCCAGGTGAGCTTGGCAACAGCAAATAGGGAGGTTTTGCCACTCTAGCCAAGGGGCTCTCATACCTTGCATTGTCCTTCTGGCCTGTTGCCTATGAACTAGCCATCCTGCAGGAAGCAGCACAGGTCCGCATGACACAGGTGGGTGGTAGTGTCAAGTGAACCCAGTCAGTAACTGGTTCAAACACCTGTAGCATCTGTCCTGGCCATATTCAGGATACAAAATACCATGTTGCACCTTGCATGCCTTGTCTGCCCATTCCTTAGGTCCACTCCAAGTTCCCTCTCTGACTTTCTGGCTTGATTAAACTATAGTTTGCTAGCAAACCAGCACCATTTCCAAGTTTGGTTCATAAGCTGGCTATGGCTTGCACAGATATTAATTTGCCCTGTTCAGCTGTCTTAGCCACTTATAATTTGATCAAACCAGTAAGTTGGGGAGGAGATTGGAACATGTACGTAGAGCAGGAAGATGATGTTAGATGATTTCAAAGACTGGGCACTAATAGCTGAACTTTGGCTTTACCTATGAATCAAGCCATTCTGTTATAAGCCAAGGGATATGTTTACATATGCACATTTTTCCTATTTTTCGTTCATACTTCTAAAATGCTTTCATTATGACACCAGCATTGCTAACTACTGCCCAGAGTGTACGCATAGCAAATGCCATGTGGTAAGTTTTGCCAGGCAAGCTTGTTGATTTTATCTGCCAACTGATTGGACCAGAGTTCAATTTGCCACCTTCTTCTCCATCTGCCAGAACAAAATTGGCTCCTCTTGAGTTAGATATACAACAGAATGTTGACTACTTCATTTGTTTGGCTTCTGGAGACATGAGTAAATCAATACATTTTCTGCCCTTCACAAAACACTCTCATTCCTACTGCAAACAAGAAATCTTTTTATGAAATTCATAGTGCTGTCATTTCCTGTAACGGCTGAAGAACAACCACTGTTGTCTTCAGTGACTCAGCTAGATGGACGAACATCATCATAGTTGCAAGTAAACTCTTTTTATTACTGAGTATGGTACAAGCCAAATAAGCACTAGTTTGTAATAGGTTGTAACTGGAGAGTTTTGCCGTTGCTGTTTCCTACTGGCAATGTAGTGGTTTAAATTAGTGGATTCCCTTGGGCAGTCATTTCCACAACTAAACATATATGTATAACCAGCAGTGATGTAGAATCAGCAACACGTGTAACATCAAGACCCATTAATTGTAAATGATTGCTCTTATTGAACCCAACAAGGGAATGGTTGGCATCTGCCAGAATGTGCCAGATGATCATCATTGGTATACCGATAATGGAAATGCTATGTTCCTGTGGGAAAACAAGCAGGGGAGGGTGCTGTACCATCCCTGTCCTGTAGGTGGCGTCACGTAGGCATCTGGCCATTGTGCAAACAGAAAGCTGGACTAGCAAAGCCTTTGATTGGATTCAGTGGCTCTTCTTGCATTCTTATCAGCATGCTTGTTTTCTAAGTCAAAGCCAGCTTTTGGATAATGGTTCAGGACCCTTATGGTGCAGCTAGGAAACTGCACAGTAGATCTGAAGATGTGCAGGAAGGTGGGAAAGTTTGACAGTTTACTTACACAGCCAGTAGAATGGACAAAAATGAATTGTTCCTTGATATTGGTCTTGAATGTTGACGAGGATGCTTACTGTTCAAAAGCTTGAAGAATTATCTTGCTTAAGGTCAGGGGGCAGATGCAGCTATGTGCTTTTGCTAGGAAGCAATTCTGTGGAAATGGGCGGAAACACTACTTTTGCAGTGTCAGCTATTATGAGACCATGTGAATGTTACATATGCATAAGAATAACATGTTTACCACAGCTATGATTAGTTTGTGTGTATGTGAAGTGGGATGGAGAGAATGCGGGGGAATGAACATGGAAGTATTGTGGAAGAATTGTGATAGGTCTTCACTTGTATATGTGACACTAATTGTAGAAGATATAATCAGGATTCACATCTATTATGCAATATTGTTAGCATTGCTCGGTTATATGTATGGGTCTTAATATAAATGTTATCTTTATTCCTATAGGATTAGTTCAGAACGCAGAAAGGAGAAGTCCAGAGATGCAGCCAGATGCCGAAGGAGTAAAGAGTCTGAGGTGTTCTATGAACTTTCTCACCAGTTGCCTCTTCCCCATCATGTGAGCTCGCATCTTGACAAAGCCTCCATTATGAGGCTAACAATCAGTTACCTGCGCATGAGAAAACTGCTTGATGCAGGTGAGAGTTTGCAGAGGGATTATAAAGGAATCTGAATATGGGTGAAAAGTAACCAATTGCAGCAGTCAGCAAATAAACATGTTGTTCTCTGTGTTGCAGTGATCGGAAGCTGCAGCACTTCCTAGCAGCTGCTCCCCCCCACCCCGCCACTGGTTCAGCGGGGTAATTTCTTCAAATTATTTGCAGGGGGAAAGCTAAGAGTTTTGTCTCACACTGGTGGCGCTCAAAGGTCAAGCTAGCTTGCATAGTATTAAGGTACCTGGAGTCGCATCCTTACTGAAGTTAAACAGGCCTTGGAGGAAAAGTGGGCTACCAGTATCACACTAAAACTCTGCTCTTTTATAGCATGGCTGAGATGCAGGATGACTTGTTCTTAATCGCCTCCTAATTGTTTAATCTTCAAAGCAAAATAAACTAGGCTTTTCAAAGGTTTGGTTGTCTTTCTGAAGTCCCTGTTTCCCAGCCGCTGGGGGTACTTCACAGCTATACCTGAAAAACCTAAAGTTTGTGCACATGTTCTCATCCAACAGAGCAAACAGTTGTCATGGTGGGGACTTCCCCAGAGAACTTAAGGGTACCATAGGTGTCCATTACTTTTTAAACTTATTTATTTACACAATAGAGAACAGACAGCATTGTAATGTTGTCATTATCAGTCCTTATGATGTATTTTCATTTTTTCAACTGTTTCGCTGGTTTGTTTTGTTTCCTTGGCTTGTCTGTTTCCTTAGTTTTCAACTGTTTCCTTTCCTACACAAACTTTTACTAGTTCTGTAAACTTGACTGGAGTGATGCTTATTCTAGATTCTGGAGTGTTGAGGCTATAATTAATGTTTTAACTTAGCTAATGTAAACAGCAGTGTAATCAGTTCAGTTGACTGCGTTCAAGATGACACAATAGCCCATACTCAGGGTTGTGTGTGGGTTGACATTGAATTATGGATTGTTGTTGAAAATTGGGTTGTGTTGTTTGAACCCAGCCATGCTAACAAACGATGGTTAGGAGTCCACTTGGGAGGTTACCAGAGCATGGGTCACTGTGGCAGACTCTGCTCATCCAGCTAAGGATGTAGTTGGTGGTCCAGCCAAAGCAGGTGGAAAGCGCTCCTTGCCACAACAGCTACCTGGAGCTCCAGAGATAACTCTGGGTCAAGGTGCACTCCCAAATTACACATGGCTTATGACTTGGCAAAAACAAATTCTTACATTACTAAGCTCCTTGTGGTATGGGCTTGTCCTTTTTCATTGTGTTAAGCATCTTGCACACTGGTATACAAATAATTATAATACTGGTCCTCCAACATTACTCTAGAGCTTTGCATATCAACCAGGAGATGAGCACGCTGTCTTGTTGGCACTGACAGTTTGTGGATATTCTGTAGAGTCTGCTTACATTAAACTTCAACAGTAGCCATAGACTTAATGCTTTGTAACTTCGCTAATATGCAGTTTGTGGGGAGGTTCTAGTGTGGTTTGTGTTCAGGGCCCTTTAAATCTAAAACGTTCTATTTATAACAGAAGAACAGCCATAGTACAATTTGGATATATAAGGGGCAAATATAAGCATAGGGTCTTTTTTTTAAAGGACATTTTTAATTTCAATGGAATAAATGAGTTTCTTTGAAAGGAAAGGGGAAAAGATACCTGTAGATTAAGAGGATTTATAAGTATCAGGTTTCTGGGACTAGATTTTTATCATGTTCTTCATCAGTCTGAAAAGGTTAAGTAAGGTTGTGTATTGTGTATGCTTGTAGGTTTTAGATGTTTAACTCGACAGTGCAACTTGCATTATGAGTCTTCTGATTAGGTAGTCAGCAAAGCTGCATAAATAAGATCTCCAGTGAAGCTTCTGTGTAAGTTTTGTTAACACTTGTGTTGGATCAGCACTAAGTTTCAATCTATTTTTATCAAGATCTTTGTATCATTTTTGTACAGCGATGATCAGAGCTAAGGAGTGGACAGGAACCCTGGTGACATTCCGTGTTTGTCTAATGTGTGGTGTCTCTTCTAGGTGACCTGGAAACAGAAGCCGAAACTGAGACACAGCTCAATTGCTTTTATTTGAAAGCTCTGGATGGATTTGTCATGGTTCTCTCAGAAGATGGTGACATGATTTATATGTCTGAAAACGTGAACAAATGTATGGGACTCACACAGGTAGGAAACTTGCCATTCTTCCCACTGCTTTGGCTAGAACCACTGAAGTTACAAAGCCCCAAAGTGCCAAAGTCCCACTGATCTAAAAGCGCTGCACTTGGAGTATGTCCAGTGTTTTATACCCTGCAGTAGACTAAGCTTTCCTTTTCTTTTACAGTTTGAGCTGACCGGACACAGTGTGTTTGATTTCACTCATCCATGCGACCACGAAGAGCTAAGAGAGATGCTCACCCACAGGAATGGTAAAAGAGAAATGTTCTGGCTTTTGATTTCAGGCCTCATGGCTGCTCCAGTTAGCTGTCTGCTTGCTGCTACTAATAATTTAAATATCAGCTTGATTAATTTAACCAGGTTATTTAAATTAATTCTGTAGCACCTAAGCCTACTTTACAAACATGTTAATTTTTTGTATTTTTCTGACTGTTGTAAGCTGCCTTGTGAGAGTTTGCATCCTGAAAGGCAGGATTTAAATATATTTTATTTTTTAAAATATTAATGTATGTGTTTAGTAGAAACTGAGGCGTGGTTCACATATTTACCCAGTCAAGGACCATCTTTTTGCGTGATGGTGTGAAAAGGGCCCGGTGCGCCAGCCTCTACGGCAGCCATTCCCAACCTGGGGCCCTCCAGACTACAGCTCCCAATATCCCCCAAGCCATCAGAGGTGAATAAAAAGTACTTCAGCTGGTGTCATATGTTGATGTATAATTCACAGCTGCTGGTCTTGTTGTATCATTGACTATCTCACTTGAATTATATGTGCATTGTAGTTACATCATGCCTCCTGGACATGTTGTATAGGATGGTTGAGATAACATAATTGCGAATGGAAATAAACAGAATTGGTCTTCTGCAAGCAACACTGTTTGCTTACAGGCCAAATTGGCGCAACTCTTTCCCCTCCAAAAGCAGATTAATAAATGTCCATGGCCCCATGCACAAAGAAGGTCCTTGGTCTGTTGAGCACATGACCAAGTTCTGGGAACGTAAAATACCTGTCAATATTTTTTTTCTTGGCCCGATCCGAGCCTGCTCCTGTGTCAGCTAATGAAGCACTGGGGATGTGGAACTACAGTTTGCTTATTTGTTTGTTTATTATATTTATATCCTGCCTTTTTTCCTGCAAGGAACCCAGGGTGGCTTACATAATCTGCCTCCTCCTCTCCATTTTATCCTGACAACAACCCTATGAGGTAGGTTGGGCTAAGAGTCAGTGATTGGCCCAAGTCATCCACTGAGCTTCCTGGCTGAACAGGGACTAGAGCCCAGAACTCCTGAGTCCCAGCCCAGGACCCTAACCACTATACCACACTGTTGTGTCAGTGCAACTGTGGATATATAGCCCGTGTGGTGCATGATACGTGTTTTGACTTCAGCCAGTACAGCACGCTCTGCAATGGGACAACCCTGTGGAGGAGTTGCCCTTGGAACAGTGGCCTTGCAGTGTAACAGGAGTGGCATGTTATACTTGCCTCTCAGAAATACTGATACTGCTGTTATCTGGCACAAACTAATTGAGGCAGCATCACTTACTGATCACTCTGTGGTGCTGGAGATGCTGAGCAATTGTGAGTCAGTTGTCTGTTCTGCATTGTGTTCCCAGTTTTGCAAGGTGGATTATCTATCTCAGTGACAGATCTGTTCTTTGCATGGACTTGGAGAAGCATAAATATAAATCAATCTGGTTTGACCTGCCCCAGTATTTTCTTTGTTTGCCATTCATGAGAGCACAAGAGAGTGCAAACATGTTGAACCAAATTCTCCCTCTTCTGTTGTGTTTTCAAGGAGACCAGCCTCTTAAACCAAGACTTTGATGCTAGTCTGTTAATCCATCCTCTCTTTGTGTTGGTAAACCCTTTATCTGAATTAAGCACCCGTCTCCAGTGCCGTTTGCTACTTCTAACTTAATTGTGGCGTTTTCTGAAGGTGGCATATTGATCATCATTATTGATTATCCCATGCAGCTGTGCCAAAACTGGATGCTCCAGCTGTTCTAACAGGATGCAGTGCTGATAGGATCGGGGGCATTCCCTGGCACATTCTAGGTTCTAGCATTGATTGAAGTATTAAACCATGGACAGTGTTGTGAACTCTGCTTGTATGTTTGGCTGCTGCTAGCTCATTTTCATGGAGCTGTAAGTTGGATTCTGGAGAACTCAGGCTTATCCTGACCAAGCTACGGGCTGGTGCACACAGCCCTTTGCTACTGCTTGGCTCCTCCTGCCAGTGCAAATGGCTAGACTAACCTAGAAATTGGAAGCTTAGCTTGACATCTAAACCTAGAACCCTGGCTTCTTGCTGCCTCAAAGGCAAACCCTGGTATATGCTTATGGGTTGGAGAGGAAGCAGCAAGCCAGGATTCCAGGTTTGGACAGCATGCTGGGCTTCTGTTAGCTGGTCCTGCTGGTGGGAGGAAACAGGAAGCATGCCAGCATGCAATTCAGCCTCCAGAATCCTGGTTTACCATTCTGTTTCTGCCGCTGTTCCGTGTGGCAGAGTTCTGCAGGGCAGTTGGGGTGTTTGTGTGTTTCAGTTACTGTCTTCAAGGCTCAGCATTGTGTGAATTGACGTGCTTGATTGATGTCGCTCTCCCTTGCAATAGGTCCTGTGAAGAAGGGAAAGGAACAGAATACTGAACGCAGCTTTTTCCTCAGAATGAAGTGTACTTTGACCAGCAGAGGAAGAACTGTCAATATAAAGTCTGCCACATGGAAGGTAATTATACTCACAATCTGAAAGCAATGGCTTTTGAAGAAGAGTGGTTGGTGTCCAGACTTGCTCGAGTGCTTTTGTTCATATTCAAGGGAACCTTTCAAGCACATTACAATAACATCTCTATAAAGAGGGCAAAGTAGATGGGTATAACTGCAAGCTGGAGACCTCTTGCTTATTAATCTGTAGGTTTTGACTGTTTTGCTGTTGTTGCTAACTTCAGTAACAGTGTTGACCCAGATGGTGAGGTTCCTTGCAGCTCCTGTTTGGCTGCTCTTTCACTTTGGCTTAGACCCAGCCTCAGCTCTATGCAGTGTATGCCAGATGTGGAGTTTCAGGTTGCACATTTCCAGTCTCAGATTTCTTCTTAAAATTGCTCTGCTCAGATTCGTGTTATACCAGCCTTCTCCAACCTGGCACCCTCCAGATGTTTTGGACTTCAACTCCCATCAGCCCAGGCCACGTGACTGCTGGTCAGGAATACTGGGAGTTGTGGTTCGGCGCATCTTAAGTACACTGGTTGGGCAAGGCTGTACTATACGCAGGCATTGGTCTGTGCCTATGATGACCAGGTTGTATCTGAGTTGATTTTTGGCAAGTATGTTCTGTATTAAGTCCACAGTTGGAGTGTGTGCTACTCCAGCTCTCCTGAGCTGTGAAACACAAACACACACAGGTATGTGTATACACACATGTGCACCCCCCCACACACACACACAGAGCACTGGAAAAACAGGAAGGAGTACATGCCCATGCTATGCATAGCCAGATCCACTGGTCTTCCCACTGCTGTCCACCAACACCACAACTCACTACTGTGAGTTTCATATCTGACACCTGTTCCAGGCGAGTGGCTTCCCGTGGCCCGCGTGCTTCTAGGCAGCACCCACTTCTCGTCAGCTGGTTCATCAGGCTGGGGCAGAGGGGGCAAACGGAAACAAGGTGATGCCGTTGGTTTCGCTGCAAAGCCACATTGTCTTTGGTAACAGACACCGAGCAACAGCTGTTCCTTCCGGCTGCAGCAGAGAGAGCAACTCCTTTGGCAGTGCCTCTTCCTGAATTGTTTTCATCCCTGCTGGTCCTTGTAAGAACTACTGCATAACTTAAGAATTAGTGCCCGAGGTTTCCTTTTCACTACTATGCTCCTCGTTACTTTTTTCTTCTGTGTTGTGTCTTTTAAGTGTAAGGCAAAAGACAGGAACTCTTTATTTTCATTCCTTTGTAAGCTGCTCTGGGAGAACTTTTGGCTGAAGACTGAATAAACCAATAACCTGTCTTTTTTTTTTTAACCTCCAACATCCAGGTACTTCACTGCACAGGGCACATCCGTGTCTATGACAATTGCACCAATCAGACAATGTGTGGGTATAAAAAGCCCCCCATGACGTGTTTGGTGTTAATCTGTGAGCCTATTCCTCATCCGTCAAATATCGAAGTTCCCTTGGACAGCAAGACATTTCTCAGCCGCCACAGCCTTGACATGAAATTCTCATACTGCGATGAAAGGTAAAGCCCTGGGAATACACAGTGGGGTTCTTGCTTTCTGAGTGAGAAGGAAGACCAGTTAGGCCTGTGTGTAGTTACTAACCTAGGAGCAAAGGAAGCTGCCACATACTTGCTCATGCCATGTAGCCTAGTAAGATCAACCCTTGACAGAGGAGTTTTTTCAGCCCTACCTGGGAATGCCAGGGATCGAACCTGGGACCTTTGGTGTGGAAATCAGGTGTTCAACCAGCTGAGCTATCGCCCTTTCCTTAACCTGGGGCAAAATTTAATTCCATCCTTATTCACATGGTACTTCATACAAGAGTTCAGCTGTTTGGTCAGTAATGTGAATTGATGTGGATCCACAAGTTTTCCACCTTCAGCATTTGAAAGGTGATATAAAATTGATTTTAAAATTGTTTCTTGTTTCATAAAGCCTGCTATCAAGATCAAGCCAATATTGTATCAATTCAGAGAGCATAGTATCAGGGAAAATCTGTCAGAAGCTGAACCAAAACTAGAGCCAGTGTGGTGTAGTGGTTAAGAGCATGGGACTGGGACTCGGGATCTGGGTTCTAGTCCCCGCTCAGCCATGGAGCCAACTGGGTGACTTTGGGCCAGGCACAGCCTCTCAGCCCAGCCTACCTCACAGGTTGTTGTTGTGGGGATAAGATGGAGGAGGAGATGTAAGCTGCCTTGAGCCCTTTGTAGGAAAAAGGCAGGATATAAATTGAAAATAAATAAAATTTTCTGTCTTCAGAACGGGTCTGTGTAATGTTGATTGATTTGAACTGTATTTTTTTCCTCCTAAATTGGCATTCTGTGCAATGCTGCCATCAAGTGGCTAAAAATAGTAATGTTTTACTTGAGCTAGTGACACTAAAAGATGATTCTTCTAAATTCTAAAATCCAGTTTAAAACAAATCTGAGAGATGCTGTGGATGCTAATGCCATTTTATATATTTTAGTGGAATTGTATTTAACATATGCACTGAGACAGTTTATGTTAAAAATATTGCTCGTGTAATTTTCCACAACCTGAAGCATCCTAAAATGAGGTCAGTTGTAAAACAGATGTTAGAGTTAGGATTATTTGTTTTTGTATATCACTTTGAATGCCTTCACACAGAAAGGGGATTTGTGATTTATTAAATAAAAACCAACAATTGTTCATCTTGTCTGCAAGTGATGTGGTAATTTGGTCATGCAGTTCCTTTCAGTCTCCTTCCAAATTACAAGTACCTGTTCAATTCACTGCTGGAACTTTATTTGAAAGTGCTGTAATTTATAACTTGGTGGAATGAGGAAACAGCTGCTAATTGGTTCACTGCATGGGAATGCCGTGTTGGGGAGGCTGCAGCGCAATACAGAACAAGCTGAGACGAACCATGTAAACCAGACTTATGCTTGGAGTCACAGACTTAAAATTAGTCGGTGTTGGATTTCTGTTTGTAAACATATTCCTCCAAGGCAGATCATTGACAAAATCATAATTTGGAAAGGAGACACACTTGTGCATGTTACCAAGCCAGACATAAGTATGCTGAGGATCTAGGAACCCCCCGATTATCAGTGTCTAATGAAGGAGTGGAGAAGCAGCTCCAGTTGGGACACAATCCTATCCATGTTTAGAAAGCAAAGCTGGCAGCATTCCTCAGCTAGACATGCTGGGCAAGGCACTCCTGGTGAGGTGTCAGATTCTCCTCCATGTTGGGAGGTTGAAAACATTTAGTCAGCAAAAATCAGCTGTCTCAATGTCTCGGGGGGTGGGGTCAAGGAAACGTAGAGGCAGTCCTGCCTTGCATTGGATGCCTCTTCAGAGGATTCCAAGCAGCCGCACATTGGATATTGCTGTTAGTTACTAATGGAGTCAGGATAATGTGTGGTGTGGTTGGCCTAATAGTTAATGGACTACAGTGGTTTTCTTTGCAGCCATTTGCTCTCACGAAGTGCAGATAGCCTTCTGGAAATGGACATTAATAGTCTTCTCTCTTATATAAAGGATTACAGAACTGATAGGGTATGACCCTGAAGAACTGCTGGGTCGCTCCATATATGAATACTATCATGCTCTGGACTCTGATCATCTGACAAAAACACATCATGACAGTAAGTTGGTGGGGGATTAGAAATGACACGCTTGCCTAATGAAATCTGTGTTGCAGTGGTGGGCTCTGTGCAGCTTACTAATACCTATTGTGTGTATAGGGAGTGCACCATGTTACGTATACTTAAACTTTGGCATTCAATGCTACAGGAGGAGGCGATGGCCGCCAGTCCGGGTGGCTTTAAAAGGGGCTTGGACAGATCCATGAGGGAGGAGGCCATCAGCGGCTATGTGCCCCCTCCTTTACCAGAGGCAGCATGTGTGCACACACCCGTTGCTGAGGAGCGTGGGCGGGAGGAGGTCTTGCACTCACTCGTCTTGCAGGGATCCTGTGGGCATCTGGTTTGCCACTGTGTGTACTGAGTGCTGTACTAGATGGACTCTGGGTCTGATCTAGGACGCCTTTTCTTATATTTTAAAGTGTGATGCATGCTTTCACTGTGGATAATTTTAGATGCCATTCAGTCGCATAAATGATGCGAGTGTCTTTCTGCTTGCAGTGTTTGCTAAAGGGCAAGTGACCACCGGACAGTACAGAATGCTTGCCAAGCAAGGGGGCTACGTCTGGGTTGAGACTCAAGCGACTGTTATATACAACACTAAGAATTCCCAGCCACAGTGTATAGTGTGTGTGAACTACGTCTTGAGGTGAGCTTTGCTGTCAGGTGCAGGTAATTTCCCTGTGTGTGAAGGATCCTGAGTCAGGTTTTAGTGACCCATGTAGACCTGTACACTGGCTTCTGTATGAATAGCTGCTAGTATTTCCTTTCTGTGGAGATGCCTTTGATACCAAAATTCTCTCATTTGGTTTTAGGAGAAACCATGAAAACCTGCTGCGTGAATGCATAATAGATGTAATCTGCTGTGTATACTGCCCATTCGCATAGTCTGTTCTCAGAAATGGAACAAGGACTTGCCTACTTTCCTCACAGATTACCTGGTTAATCTCTCTCAATCTCCCTCCCTCCTTCTTGCACTCTCTCGCTCTCTGTCTCTATCACACACACACACATTCTCCCCTCTCTCATTGTGTGAGTGTGCACTCCAATGATTTAGCTATAAGCCAAAGGACTTCCATTCATGCAGCAAAAGTTTCCCCCTCTGCGTTCCCACTGCCACATACCCCACAATCACCTCCAGTGTGTCTCCGTAGAGCTGTTCTGCTAATACAGAGGGATACACTTGGATACAGCCCATAATTTGGATTCTTCTGTAGGCTATGTTAAGACACTTTATACATTCAAAGTCTCCAGATAATCTGAATCATGCAATATGTATATTTAAAAAGTAAGTCTTGGTTCTTACCTTTCCCGCATGAGCATTTAGACCTTGAAGGGCCTTGGAGACCATTCTCTTCACAGATGCCTTCAGCTGATGCCATAAGGTGCAGAAGGGCATCCAAAAATAATCTGTACATCTGTTCTGATGAGATGGCTTTTCAGTATGTGGCTCACTGCTACTTCCGTATGTCACTTAATGAGGGTGCACCCTAAAAAGCGCCTTCCAAATACTTGAAACAACAGTGCCACACTGCTGTCCCCCGTGCAGATTCCTCCCTGGGTTTGGAAGCCCTGTTCTATCTCGGCACAGGTAGCAGAGCTAGCCATTCCTGGGAGTCTGTCTCGCAGGCAGAGGGCACTGGTCCTCTCTGCATCATAGGCCTTGTGCTCCGGAACACCAGGAGTTTGCATTGTGCAGAGAGGAAAGGCTCAAGGGAGCGATGGGGGCACTTGCAGTTCTTCTGTCTAATGCCCTGGTGTATTGTGCGTTATGACCACATGTTGTGGGGCAGAGGGGAACGGGGATGTGCTGAGCATAGCAGGACTCCTACAGTGCTGTGCCTATAGTGAGAACTTGGTGTGCATGCTTTTAGTCTGTTCTATCTATGGTATCAAAATGGGTGTTAATAATTGGAATCCATTGTGTGTGGAACAGAATTTAAAACCTTCGTCACAGCAAGCCGTTCTGGACAAGTAGAACTTTTCACTTAAACTTGATGTTCTACACCACAAATAACCTGCTATCTTGTAATTTCTAATCTATAAAATGAAATAGAGAGGCAGTAAGCTTATAAAACATGTACATTACTGCAGTTTGAGTCCAGCATGACTAATTCAGCACATGCTCTCTTGGTGCAAGCCATGTTCCCTGGCGCATGACGTTTTGCTTACTCGTTCATATTTGCCCAGCATCTTTCAGATCTCATATTTTATTCCTACCTTTATACCCCATATTTCTTCCTCCTGCAAGGAACTCGAGGCAGCTTTTCCCTTTTCTCCATATTTTCACAGCAACAATGTAGGCAAGACTGAAAGTCTGTGACAAGCCCCAAGTGAGCTCCATAGCTGAGTGGGGGCTAGAATGCGGAGTCCCTGGATCCCTGTTCCAACACCCGAACCACCTTGCCACATGAACTCTCAGTGCATTCGTCTGGAGCATTTCCCTTGCCATGCTAGTAATGGCAGGTGCTGTCCGTGTGTTAACTGCCGAGTGCAGGCTGAGCCACACATCTGTGTTGCGGTGCTTTTTGACCTACGCCCTGGAGAACCCTCCTGTTGTTCAGTGAGATGAGTCATGGCAGAGCAGTGCCCTGAAAAGCCTCCACTAGTGAGTCTTCCCTGCCATGCATGGCTGTGCAGGAGTGCTGGACATGTTCTAGGTTGTGAAGGCACATCGACTCACAGTCGGCCTGGCTAGCTCTCCATGTGAACCGACTGCCCTGCGTAGCCTACTAGAGATCCCTGCGGTGATCAGGGCCTCTACGGCAAATATTTGCAGGTTTTTCAGCGGGAAGGAATTCCACGAAGGTAGAATTTATTACACTCTGCTGAAAGTTAGCGTGTCATAAAACGGGTATTACAGGGTAGCAGCAACTCTCTAACGTTTTGTTCTCTGCTTTTCTGCAGTGGCATTGTTCAAGGGGACCTGATCTTTTCGCTCCAGCAGACTGAGTGTATGTTGAAACCAGTGGATTCACCGGAAATGGGAATGATCAAAATACTTGATAAGACTGAACTGAAAGACAGCAACAGCCTCTTTGAGAAACTTAAGAAAGAACCAGATGCATTAACTTACCTTGCCCCTGCGGCCGGAGACACCATAATCGCGTTAGACTTCAGCAATGATGGTGGGTGTGTGTTCAGTTCGAAGAACCTGCTGATCAGTCAAGTTAGCTATAAAGTATGTTAGCAACAGGTAGCATGTTTTGCCAGATGCCCTTGGTATCTCTTGTATTTAATGAGGCCCTTAAACTGTGCTGCGCTGTGTCTTACTTAGGTTGATGATGTCTTTTAATTTTTGTAGAGTCTGATGAGCAACAGTTTGATGACGTTCCTTTGTATAACGATGTAATGCTCCCCTCATCCAGTGAGAAATTGCAGAATATAAATTTGGCAATGTCTCCACTACCTGCTTCTGAAGCTCCTAAACCGCTCCGTAGCAATGCTGACCCAGCACTCAATAGAGAGGTGGTGTCCAAGCTGGAGCCCAGTGCCGAGCCTTTAGACCTTGCTTTTTCCATCCGTCGGACGCAAGAGCAGCCGGCCACTCCTTCCGATGGAAGCGCCAGCCAAAGCTCACCTGAGGTTAGTCAGCTGATCCTCTCGGGCAGACCTGCGATCTTCAGTGGAGACTGACCTACAAATAAAAGATCCATTTCTGGTTTTCATGGTTGTCAGCTTTGTATCCGGCTTTCTCCCAGGAAGCTCAAAGTGGTGTTCTTCGGAATTATCCCATTTTGTCCTTCCAATAGTTTGGTGAGATAGAGCAGGAGAGAGAGAGACTGGCCTGACCTCTTTCTGGGGGACTTCAGCCTGATTCAAATCTAGATCCAGCATTACAGCCGGATGAAATCCTGGGTGGCTTAGGTGATGCCATTCCCCCCACCCTTTACTCACCTCCTCTGGAGTAGCAGGTTAACCATGATTTTGCACTGTACAGAATTCTTCATCTGAAAATCTGATGCCCTGCTTTAAATTAAAGGCATCACTACCAAATTATTACTTTGATTCTCTCTCTCTCTCTCTCTCTCTCTCTCTCTCTCTCTCTCTCTCTCTCTTTCTTTCTTTCTTTCTAGCAAAAGGTCTCGTGGGGGTGGAATTTGAGAAGAGATGTGATAATGTGCTTGTTAAAAAAAAGTTTAAGCATGTCATTAAATTATGGGAATAAATGTATCAAACTGAACATGTTATCACTTCTGACATGCCTCATCCTAATCATTGGAAGCTCTAACAGTTAATGTTTTGGGGAAATTTGTGAATATAGGTACCACTTCTGTTGCATGTGATTGGTGAGTGTGTCACTGAATGGCAGTGTTGGTTGTTTCCACAGCCCAGTAGTCCTCCTAATGACTATTGCTTTGATGTGGATAACGAGATTGCCAGTGAGTTCAAACTGGAGCTGGTGGAAAAGCTCTTTGCAATTGACCCAGAGTCAAAAAACCCATTTTCTATGCAGGTGAGTGAAGTAGTTGAAACTCGCTATGTGATTTCCAGGCCTTGCTTGGGGCATGGCAGATGGCTTAACACATTAATGTTAACATGTCCTGATATGTGCAACAATACTTCCCCAACACTGAACTGAAACACTCAGGTCATTGTGGCATAACTTTGGACGCACATGAGGAGACTGAAATGCCATGGCTGTGATCTAGAAGTGCGCATGATCCACATGTGCACTGAACTGCTTTGAGGTTTTTCCCTCTTGAGTGTGCAGCCTATTTTCTCTTTAAGCTTCTCCATGTTTAAATAGCAGGACTGAGTTAGTGTAGGGTTGAAAATAAGGCTATTCAGGGCGGTGGCTAGTTACCTGCTTGCTTACTTTAAAATGTATCCTGCCCATGGCGTCCCCAGGGCAGCTATGCAAAACAACAATAAAACCATTGTATCTGGTGCACATATATTGTAGCCCAGCTCTGCAAGCCCCTCAAAATGCTGTTCCCCACCATATCCATCCATTTCAAAGGGGCCCTTTCAAAGCAGTAGTTTGTCGTGGAGAACAATCCTGCCAACAAATTGCGGTCTTGATTTGCTTCTGTCAAAATGTGCAGTTACATATTCTTGTTCTTGCATTTCAGGAGACTGATTTAGATTTGGAGATGTTGGCACCCTACATCCCCATGGATGATGATTTCCAGTTGCGTTCCTTTGACCAGCTCTCTCCTCTGGAGAACAGTTCTACCAGCTCTCCTTCCAGTGCGGCCCCAGTGACAGGGTTTCAGCCCACCCCATTGCCATCGCCTGCCCCAGACAAAATAAAGCGGGTGCCAGTCAAGCACGAGGATGACACAAGGGCACTCGTAGCTCCCGCTCACGTCACTGTAGACAGCAGCAGTGCCCCAGCGACGCTGTTTACGGAGAGTCCGAGTCGAACAGCCTCTCCGGCCAGAGGAGGGAAAGGCACGATAGAGCAGAAGGACAAGTCAAATCCAGGAACGCCAAACTTACTGACAGTCACGCTGGGTAAAGGGTAGGTCCTAAATAACATGGGTCCATTTGATCTGGAAATCAGCAATGCACTAGATGTGTTTACACAGAGGGGAGCAGTTAATTGTGTTTTATGTGCTGTACTTCTGTTCAGCAAGGAGCACAGCACGTCTTTTGACTGAGTGCCCCCCCCACCAGCATGTCTAGCTGCTAGCTTTCAAGCCTGCTATTAGCAGCCGCACACCATGTGCTCTTGTGAAGAATGCCTTTATGGTACCGTAAGGCTTTTTTCCCTGTCTCCAGACAGAAACTGAGAAAAGCTGCCCACCAAGTTCAGAGCAAAGCTGAGACTCGGAACATGAGATTCTGGGTCCAGGCTTGATTCTGTTAATGCAAGTAACCACTGTTCCACCTCCTTTCTCTTCTAACACTTTGTCCAAGCCCAAAGCGGAGCAGTTCTTACCAGTTTCAGTGTTGTGTCGAGACTCCGGGTGCGGTGTGCGGGACACAGTTTGTATTGTGTGCTCATCGCGGGTGGTTGGCGCAAGGCTGGATGATGCAGAACAAGACTCCAGCCCCACTTGTGGCACATGAACACGCCATAGTGGGGAAAGAAAGGAGAGAGAAGAGAGGGCTGTGCATTGGAGGGAGAGTGCAGGGAATGGGCTGAGCAGATGGTAAGCCACTGGCCACCCCCATTGGAGGTATGTGATCAGATGCATTGAGCTGACCACTGCTTCCTCTAAATAATCTCTCTCCTTTTCTCACCCCCCTCCTCCCATACCACCTGAGCACAATTCTAAGGCATGGGCTTCATTTCTACAAGGAAGGGCTCAGATCTGTCTAAAAGCTGTGCCTTTTGCTTTGGCGTCTCCTCTCTCTTTAATCCAGTCCTTTGTTCAGGGGTGAAGTGACTCAGTGAGGGGGGAAGGGATGTTGCTTCTTTCTGTCGCATCACACATAACAGGGAGCTGTGGAGCTAAGCCTTGGCGAGCTTACATTTTTACAAGCAAGAGAGCACTGTGGAATTTGCAGAGATGCAGTTTGCTCTAATGTAAGGCAGACTGGGGAGTGGAGCTCGGCAGCAGAATGCATTTTGTGTGTGCAGAGGGTTCAGGCTGGGGAAAACTGCAGCAGCAGTGCTTCTAATCAATATTGAGTCCACCAGGCTAGATGCTGGCTCACTATGAGGCAGCTGGCTTTGTTCCTATATATGGAGTGGGAGCAGAAATTAAACTGCCTGAATCTTTTCCTCAATAGATCGATTGCACCGAATGAAGAAATCAACCCAAAGCTAATAACGCTACACAATATTCAGAGAAAACGAAAGATGGAGCAGGACGGTTTGCTTTTTCAAGCAGTGGGAATTGTAAGTTTTCAAGGATCCCCCCCCCCCCACCCCTTACATGCACAATTAAATGTTGAGCTTTGATTTCTCTGATGTGGTCTAATTGTCATTGTTGTTAATCCACTATGAAGTTTTCCACTTAAATGAAAGGGAGCATTCCAACAGCAGCATAACACACCCTCCCACCCCGCAACACACCCTTTTTAGTGTCAGAAAATGCTGGCGTTTTTTTTTAATGAACATACTTTTTTTCTGGAGCAGGACCTGCACGGATGGTCAGTTTCTAAACTAAATGTCACGTTGCTTAGTGGATTCAAGGGCCTCAGGAGCTATGGAGCAAGTGTGAGTCCAATAGCACAAACTCATCACTGTGACTGTTTGCAAGAAGGAGTTGAATGAACTTCCTGAAAGAGCTCCTTAAGAAGCTGATTAGCAGAATGTGCCATTACATGGGAATGCACAGAAAATACAAGAAGATAAGCAATGCGAGTGAAATTGAGCAAACTTTTTAACCATACCTTGGTTAAAATTAGATTAGCATCGGGGGGAGGGGGGATTGGAGAGGATACAGATAAAACCGCCTTTGAAAATGTTTCCATACCAGCTATGGAGTCGAATAAAACAAAATTAGGCTACAATCAAACCAGCTCTGATCCTTTGAGAACCCTGTGGCTACTATAGATGGCCTTTTCAAACTGTTTATAAATTAGAAGAATGCTTCAGTAGGCATCTGGGGAGAAGGGCAAAAAAATACCTGAGGGTTTCCAGAACTTGCTCATTCCTGCTCAAGAGGTTCACCAGTTGGCTGTTCTTGTTTTTAAAAGGTTTTTAAAAAGTGTTTTTCTGAGTAGTTAAAATATCCTGCATCGTTCATTGGCTTTTGACGGTCTGTGCTACATCAGTTGGTAGTCATGCTCATAGCAACTTTATGTGCTTGGCTTTTAAAAATAAATTTCTTCTATTGATTCTTTGCATATTCATATTTTAATCATTGCTTTATTTCATGAACTTTGCCAGACATGGGGCGGGGGATAAATTAGAAAAAGTAAATAACAGGTAGAGACTTGAAGTGCACAGCAGCAACTTAAAGTGTTTGTGCATCACACCACTAAGAAATTTGTGATAGGAAAGTGAATTAATCTTGACAAAAAATTGTTTTTGAGACTCACCCTAAATTATTGCTTTTAACATGGGTAAGAGATGTTTACATAGAAGCTTTTCAGTAAAGAGGAAAGCTGGAAATTTCTCAGATGTCTGATGGATTTCTTAAACATATCCCACATGGTGGGTCTTTGATTTACATAGCTCTTGATGTACAGGTTCCTTTTCCTGTCCTACCACAGTAGAGAATGGTCAATTGGGGATCGGGTTGGAGCTGTACAGCCTGCATAACAAGATTCATGTTTCTCCCAGAGGTACCAGTGAAGGTACATTTGTATCTTAATAGAACAACTACCTCATTGGTTTGGCACCATAGAAACTTCAAGTGCTCTTTTTTAACACAAGTGCTAGAATAGTTCCCATTTACTTCTCTGTGGCCCTAATCCACTGGAAAATATTCTGTAGAACAAAGGTTGAGGCTGGCACAATCTACTGCCAGAACTTCATGTCCAGCGACTGGAGCCAGCCACAGAACAGTGTGCTGAAGCCAGGTACGGCTGCCAGGTGTATCCATGGGCTGTGCAGATACTCTGAATTTACAAAAACAAATCCACATCATAGTTATGGTAGTTCAGGAATTCTAACAGCAAACCCTTAAAATTCACCAGGAAGGCTAAACAAAAAGATGTTTCAATGCACCCCATTTTCCTGGTGAGGAATGCTAAGACTGAGATAGCAGTGCTTAGCCCCATGCAGGCTTATTTAGCACGGCAGATGCTTCTTTTTGCAGTTTTTGGCCAAAATATTAAGCAAGCATTCCTATTTGGACAGATGGAGAATACACACTGCTTGTGACTCTGCATGTTCACGTGGGAGTGAGTCTCAAGTAAATGTGCGTAGGGTCGTAGTCTGAGACTGGAAGACTGACAAAACTCAAGGATCAGGCTGAATTTTAATGCTGTGCGCCATCAGGCAGTAGCCATTACAAGCCTGGAAGAAAGGAAATGAAGCTGCAATCCTTTGACAGTCAGTTGTTAGTCTCTCACTTCCCCATCCCTCTACACTGTAGAAATCTCATCCAAACAAAGAAAATTTACTTTTGCACAGTTCGATTTTGAAGGAAATGCTTCCCTGTTAAATGCGTTCTTCTCTGCAGGACTTTGAAAGTGAAAGGTATTTTTACACCCATGTCTTAATAGTACTTATGCAATATCTCTGGGACGCCATTAAATCAGCCTCCTTTTGTTTGAAGGGCACGCTATTGGCGCAGTCGGGTAGTCCGGGAACAAATGTGTCGCTGGCCTGGAAACGCGTGAAAGGATGCAGACCTAGTGGACAGAACGAGGCAGCAGCGAAGACAGTCATTCTATTACCTTCAGGTCAGTGTCTGTGTGGGTGTTGGCCTAATGTTGCCGTGCGACTCTAGTAGTGTCCATAAAGCAACACAAGTTGGGTGTGCTCCCATTTCCTCTGCCCATGCAGCTCTCGCCCAGACTTGCACAAACCTTGCACTTCCGAAGGAAATGGGGAAGCCTGTGTACTCAGGTCCCATGGAGCTTTCAGTAATCTTGGGATCAGGGCCCCTGTGTGGAAGGGCTCCTGATAGGTGGTGAGTAGAGGTGCCCCTTGAAGCAAAGAGCAGTGACTTCCATCTTCTCTATAAATGACTGAAGCAGTATCGAGGAACAGAATGGGGGAACAAGCTGCTGTTGATGGGAGAGCTCATGAAGGACCCTGTTTTTGGGGAGTGAAGGCTGAACACAGATCTTTGGGAATCTGGGAGCTCTGTAGGACTTTATTCGGCCTAAACATGAATAGGATTGCATCCTAGGAAAGGTGAAACCAAGACCTAAAGCAATCCCTTGTCTGACTAGTAAACCGTATGTCCTTTTCTGCCTAATATTAAAAAGAACAAGAAAACTCTGGACTCAGTTTTTGCTCCAGGGAAAGCTGAATTCTTCAGCCTCTAAAAATGTGCTTAACTGTCAACATTTAAAAATACATGGTCCTTTTTACTATTTGGCTAGTTATGGGAAAGGCCAAACCCCATGACTGATACTAGAAATCTTACTAAGCCACTCTTCTGTTTTGTGATTACATAAGGCATTGAAGACATACAAAGTTTGTAAGCCGCCCCGAGGCTTTGGCGAATGGGGCGGCATAAAAATGTTTTAATAAATAAAAAAAATAAAATACTTTTTCAAGGGCTAGAAGCTTGCTTTTTATATTTTTAAGAGAAAGCTTAAGTTCTACTTCTGTAGAATGTTCTGTGTTAACTTTGTGCTTCCACAGAAAATTCCAGTGTACTCAGATTCCTTATATCTGGTGTAACTGATTAAGTCTCTAGCAAACCTAATATGTATTTTCCTTCCATTTGTGAAACGAAGGTAATTTGGGAATACTTCTGTGTGTGAATGATTGCACAAACAACCTTTCCCCTTTCCTTTCAGATATAGCAAGTAAACTTCTAGGGCAGTCGATGGATGAGAAGGGACTCCCACAACTTACGAGCTACGACTGTGAAGTGAATGCTCCCATACAAGGCAACCGCAATCTGCTACAAGGTGAAGAATTGCTCAAAGCCCTGGATCAAGTCAACTGAGCATTTCCCCCTCTTTACAGTCGTTCTGTTTTCTTGGACACTGGTGACTCACCACCTAAAAGCAGTCTATTTATATTTTCTATACCTGATTTTAGAAGCCTGGCTACAAATACTGCACTAATTCAGTTAGTTTGTGGTTCTGATCCCCTTTCTACTTTGGACAGTCTCTTACTTAGAGAGTGTTGAGCTTTTTTCTTTTTTAACAACAGTAACTCAGCTAATGGTGCATTTTTGGTACATAAACAATCAAAATCCAGTACATTTAGACCACGCTTGCAACGGCAGCTTTGATGTAGGCACCTTTTTTAAAGAAATATTTATTTTTTATTTTGACCTGGAGTTTGTCACTGAGGAAGTTTCTATCAAATTATCACAGTAAAACTGTCTAAGCCTTCTGTTGTGTGATGCTAGGCACACTGAAGGCACCTTGTGCTCTGCCTCTATACGATGTTCAGATCAATTTTTACTTAACTTTTTTTTTTAAGAAACGTTGCTTTGCAGCAGTGAATTTGTAGCCACAATCGCACAATCTATTTTCTTAACAAAATAAAAACAAAATGCCAGCAGTTCCTCATGCAATATATTCTGCATTTCTAAAGCTAGTTTTTAAAAACATTTCCCCCCACCCCTTTGGTTTCATTTTATGTTTATTGCCTGTGAAATCATGTAGAAATGTTGGAGTAATGTTTTTGGTCACGTTGTACAAGAGGATTCTTAAATGCTGTGTTCATGTCCAAGTGTGGTTAGGGGAAGAGAAGGATTTGATCTTGAGAGGCTAGCAATTTGGGGGCTTCAGGAAAAAAGATGATGTGGGAAGGAGGATGTTCATTAAATTATCAATGGTGCTGGAGAAAGTAGGTAACTTTTTCTCTCCTTTGCAATACTAGGATATGGATTTACCCAACAAAGTTTCATTTTCAGTACAGAAAAACAAAGCAGTTTTTCACACAATGCATTAAATTCTCTGCCTTGGTGTGGAGATGGCCACTGGTTGATATGGCTTTGTAAAAGAATAAAGAATGGGGCTATTTGCGATGATAGCTAAATGGAACCTCTGTGTTTGGAGGCAGTGTAATATTTTGCTGGGGAACAAACAACAGGGAAAGACTTTTCATCCTGCTTTGTGATCATCTACTTAGAAGTATCTGCTGGACTGGATGGAACCCTGGCCAGATCTATCGGGGCTTTTTCTCTGTAATTTATGTGGACACCTTCTCTTTTAATGGAAAGTAAAGAGGTTTTCGATGTTTAAGTTGCTTTGCCAGCTCAGAGAAAATTCTCCCCTGCCTATAGCTGTGAAAAATTCATACTAATATTGTGTATCTAATAAGTAAATGTTCCGATTTCCCTGTTTGGTAGAGGTGGTATTTCAAGCAAATCATAAAACATCCTGCGGTGTTAGCAGAGTTGAATAGTTTTATCACAGAGTTGCTTGGTAATATTTGATGTTTTGAGGTTTATGCACCTTGTTGCTATTAACATTCATGTGTTTTGTTTTATTTTATTTTATTTTATTTTATTTCATTTTATTTTATTTTGTTAACAATAGATTTCAGTAATGCTGAATATATTTTAGGAACTTTTTTATTTAGGAACGGTGTCGCACAACATCTTATTTTCCTTCTATGTGCTGTATAATGATTCCCTCCCCACCACTACTCTTTCTTTTTTCCTCTTTCGTGGTTGGATCTAACACTAACTGTATTGTTTTATTACATCAATAAACTCTATGTGGACCAGGCCTGCAACCAAGTGTTGTGCTTGTAGACGACACTGAGTCTTCAGTATGGACAGTGATTTTCGTTGAGAATGGTTTGCAGTTTGTTTGTTTGTTTGTTTGTTTGTTTATATCCTGCCTTTTTCCTACAAAGGGCTCAAGGCAGCTTACATCATCTCTCCTCCTCCATCTTATCCCCACAACAACAACCCTGTGAGGTAGGTTGGGCTGAGAGTCTGTGCCTGGCCCAAAGTCACCCAGTTGGCTCCATGTCTGAGCGGGGACTAGAACCCAGATCCTCTGAGTCCCAGTCCCATGCTCTTAACCACTACACCACACTGGCTCTCAAGTTGCCTGAAGTGCCATGAGCAGTGACAAGGCTAAATGTACCATTCTGATGCATACGTAGTCATCTTATGATGCTGAAGGCGTTCAGCAAGTCCTGGTGGCTGGCAGAAGGCTGCTCTTAAAGTGCAAGCCATTGTGTCTACTCAGAAGGCGGCGCCATTGAATTTAATGGGACTTATCCTAGGTAACGGTGTACGATTGCAGTCTCGGACAGGACTAAGAATGTAGCCTCTAGACCACAGTTGGGGGAAGTCATGGCCCTAATGTGCGGCAGGCTTATTTTTTTGATATTTATACACTACCCTGTTCCCACAGGCTCTAGGCTGTTTACAAGAAATTAAAACCAACAGTGGTTAAGATTGACAAAAAATATGAAATAAAACTGACAGGAGAACTAATTTGGTAAGGCCTTTTGGAAGAAATGTCTTTTTAACTTAGCCCAATTCTACTCCTAACTCTCAAGTGATGATGGGAGTGGTAGTCCAAACAACACCTTAAAGACGATATGGTCCCCATCTCTGCTCTAATTGATACTGAGATCAGCCAGGATGCTATGAGAGCATTCAGATACTGGATGCATCTTTTATATCTACTCAGGAAGAGCAATCAGAAAATAGATTGTGTCAACAGACATAATCAGAGAGCCAGTGTGGTGTAGTGGTTAAGAGCACAGGACAGGGACTCGGATGACGTGGGTTCGAGTCCCCGCTCAGCCATGGAGCCAACTGGGTGACTCTGGGCCAGTTACAGACTCTCAGCCCAACCTACCTCACAGGGTTGTTGTTGTGGGGAGAAGATGAAGGAGGAGATGTAAGTTGCCTTCAGCCCTTTGTAGGAAAAAGGCAGGATATAAATCCAAAAATAAATTAAAAAATAAAAATAAACTGCTCTGCAGTTAGGCAGCACATAGTCAAATGCCACTCACCATACATCCCCTTAGATATTAGAATCTGTTTTCTGTATGTGAGGGGGATACACAATAGACACCATCTTTTATCCCCATGGAGCAAGGTTGTATGGACTGTGTGAAATCCATTCAGTTTGCATTTCAAGGAGAATCAGATGCCGTTCATTCCATCATCCACTCATTGAGAGAATTAGTTTTTGTGCAAATATGTTTGTATACATTTGTGCAAATTCACACTTGTGGGAGGAAATGTGTACTTTTGGTTGGTTTTTTTTACTTTTCACATTTTTCTATGATTCTATTTGCATTACAGAAAGTTAAAAAAAATCTGTTAATTTACAGGCTTTGTGCAATTTGGGAAAAGCCAGTTCATGAACTGGATTCCTATAAATCTGAAATCATTTTATTTTCTCTAACAATTATACCCTATCATCTCTTTCTAAACTTACCAGCAGATCATTTAGCATGAATTAGAATGTATTTGCTTTACCACCTTTTTGCTGCAGCAGATGTATCATAGGATGGAAGGGAGAAGGTTTTTACAAACCACTTTAGGGTACTACATTTACCCACAGTATAGTTTCAAAAAGTAAAGAACTGTTTTAGAATAGATTTGTACAAGAATAATGAGTTAAAATTGTTTATGCTGAGTATTTACCTACACTTGCTGATGCTATTCTTACTTCTAGCCTTCAGTTTCTCTTTCAGCAGCTGCTCCTTACTGGAAAAGTTTAAAGTGGAATGTAACAAATTCACTGCTCAGGAGCAGCTGCTATAGACAATCTCTTTGCAAGTTTTTTCTTCCTCCCTTTACATAAGTATGAACTACTTAGCTGGAATATAAAAGCTAACCATTTTGTTACTTCTTCAACCACAGAGAAGCTTCACATTCTGCCAAGAAGGATTCTGTATCAGGAAGCATTCATACATTCCCATATCGTTACATTACATATCATATCCCATAATGGATAGGATAAAAATATCCTAATAAGTAAGTAAATAAATATCATACACACATGATCATATGAAATATCATATATTCCCCATACTCGCACCACATTTGCTATTATCGCCATACATGTCTCAGCCCATTGTGCATCAGTGCGTTCCCAAAAAGGAATAAAATTCTTGCACATCTCATAAATAAAATCTCTGCCAGTGAGCAGATGATGAAACAAAAGACTCCTGACAGTCCCATCCAGGAAACATAAAGGATTAACAAAATCCATACCACAGAGATGATTGTTTCAACTGCAGTGCTGCAGTTAAGCACGGAGGCGCATTGTGTCAGTACTAAAAAGGGATGGTGTTCAGGCAGCAGAAAGGCACTGCTAGCTTTCTGCACATTCCGTGTCACGGAGGCTGCCAGTCCTGTGGCGCTCAGTAGGTTCCTGCCTCCTGCACGACAATTGTAGTGCATCTTCCCACTACTAGCTGTGCTGCGCTGGGGGAGATTCTGTGCCATACAACTAGTATTGTTTAGAATGAAGAACACAGTCTGCACAGAGGCAATCCACATGTTGCCCTCTTTAAACCATGCGCTTTGATCTTTGTGAATACCCTGGACCAACAGAAAGACAAACAAGTGGGTCCTTGATCAAGCCAGAACTTGCCCCAGAAGCAAAAATGAGAAAACAGACTACTTCAGACACATCATGAGAAGGCAAGATTCACTGGAGAAAGCATTCATACCAGGGAAAGTCAAAGGCAGAAGACAAGGGAAGACCAAACTTACGAGATGAATGGACCCATCCAGGAAGCCACCGCCTTGAACTTGGAAGAACTGCAAGGAGCTGTCATGTAAAGGACAGTTTGGAGGGCTTTCTTTCATGGGGTCACCATAAGTTAGAGACAACAGTGCACAACAACAACAATCTGATCTCGTTAGTCTTGAGGAGAAGAAAAAGCACAAGCTGGACTATTAGAAATCTCTAGTAGAGATTTAGCCAGACATTGTCCAAAGACTTAGAGACATCTTTACGGCAGTAAGGGCTAGAGACATGTTAAGGATTTATTTTTAAATAAAGACAGCTGGGATTTGTAGGAAGCCATGTTCTGTGATCAGTGCTGCACGTTGTGCTTCCTACTGAATACCAGCGCTTGCTTCGTGGCAGAAGATGATGCTGTGCAGGTCTTTGACAAACAAGCCGGCATGATAGGATAAAGGACTGAAGAATACCGTATCCAATTGATCTAGAATAGGGTTCTTCACCAGATCCTGGACATGTCCACATAGACATTTCCCATACATTTGTCTTAAGGTGATAACACAAGAATATAGAAAGTATCTCTGTCAAAGGCAAACACTTTTCACATAAGAAAAACCTGATTCGCGTGCCAGCCTGCCTTTTAACAATGTTTGTTAATCCGTTTTAAGTTATTTGTGTAGGTTTAATATGTTTGTATGAAAAACTTATTTTAACTATGTTGTTTTAAATGAAACTGTTTACAATATGAATTTAACTGCTTATGCACACTTTATGGTATTTTATCTTGCTGATATTAGCTATTCTAGGTGAAAGACACTATGCTTCTTAATGAAGTACAGTTTTATAAATGCCCACTCAAAAATAACACCAACTGAATTCACTGCAGCTTACTCCCAGGTAAATGAGTATAGTGTAGCACAGTTAATTTAACAAATTGTGGTATGGTATTTGACCCTTACCATGCATTGTAAAGAAAACTTACATTTTGATATGATAGACTGCCATTTCCTACCCCTGTAAACATTATTGTGGGGATAGAACATATAAGATTTCTTATCTAAGATTATTTAACATCCTAAAATATTTTTTCATTCTTCTTTAGAGAAGCCACAAACTGCTGGATGTTGACAACTCACATTGTTCCTTTTAATACATCCCTTCTCAAGTCCTTTTCTGATTGCACCTCCTTTTAAATTCAGAGAAATGTGTTCCTCACATTCAATTAGAAAAGTTCAGCTAAACCAGGAAAAATGTCATAAAAGAACCTTAGTACATTGGTAATTTTGGTTACATACCTCCCTAGCACAGTGGCCAAAATTACCTAATTCTAAAAGCCAGGTTTAACTTTCTTGGTATTAATCTGCTCATCAGCAAAATCCAAAAGGCTTTCTCTGCTTTAGACAACTTCAGATTTTTTTTTTTTTAATTCCCACATGATAATACACAGATCTATAGGATCTGTAGTGGGTGTGACCTTGGGGCCTTTGGTGAGCTCAGAGTGGGGTTATTAACAGCACCTAAGGTAACTTGTCCCAATTATTCTCCTCCCGGCCCAAGACAGCCTTGTGATGGCAGTAGAATCCTGCTGGATCAGAGGTAAGGTCCCGCTAGTCCTAAGAACTTCCTGGCCATGCACCAAGGCTGTTTCATCCAGCACTCCCTTCCTAGGGTGGCAACCCCACAGAGCTGCCCCCAGGGGAAGAAAACCCAAGTCAGACCTGAGTAGGATAGCATCCTGCATTCTCTTCTCCAGCAATTGGTGCACATAGTCACACTGCCTTTGATAGAGGAGGCAGATACCTAGTCATCTGGGCTAGTAACTTGATAGCTTTTTCCTCACTAGAGCCTGTGGAAAGGAATTCCATAGTTCAGTAATACTCTGTGCAAAGAGGTGAGGTACTTCTTTTTATCTATGGAATGCGCTCCCCAGAGAGGTCCGCCTGGCGCCGTCACTATTTGTTTTTCGGCGCCAGGCTAAGACCTTTTTATTTAAAACTTACTTTAATTGTTAAATTATTGAATTAATTAGGATTTTAAAATTTTTAGCTGAGAATGCACCGGGGTTTT